CATTTATTCAGCAAATGTTGAACTGAGGGAATGGGCATCAAGTTCTTAAAAATTATCCGGCATTTAACTTAGTGGATTTCAAAGATAAATATTAAAATATCCTATGTCAACAAACGATTAGCACGAGAAATATCCTATAGATGGAAAGAAGGTGTAGCGGTAAATAATTCCCCAAAATTATTGACCACAGCAATCACTCATTGGATGCTGACCACCACTGTTTAAGTCGACTTGTTTAACTGAAGGCTTCCGGTCAAGCATCCCCGCCATTTGGTACCCCGTCGTGTCACGTGCACGATCACTAGCTAGTTAAGCGTTCGTCTGACGGCTTGTTTTGGTCCCAGAATATATTAATTATAAGTTGCTGAACGAGATATCCGTCAACCTCTAAACTGGTGAGCCCAACCGCGAACTTCATCCACGGTAAATCCGCAGATAACCCCGGTGAGTTCGTTCCATTTTGTATTTGTTCTTGTACCATATATTATTCGACATAATTTTCGTCATGAGTGATCTTAGTCCCAAGGTCATCCGTATCCGCTCAACTCCTAAAACCATTCAGCTCGTACCATACTGGCCAGATAATGCTGAAACGTGGTTTCTGCTAGCTGAAGCAGATTTTTGTGAGCATGGGATAACCGATCAACGTTCACAGTTACTTGCAGTTATTCACGCCCTACCGCGGGAATTCAGCAAGTACGTAACATCACAGATGTTGAGTCCCGAGGTAAGTAACTCGTACGAGTTGCTCAAAGCATCCCTCCTCAGGAGAAACGTTCTCACGGACCGACAACGTCTAGATGAATTATTTCGTAACATCGAGTTAGGAGATCAGTCAGCCGTGAGCATGCTGACAAGAATGAAGGAAGTCGTCGGCCAAAGTCAGTTCGACGAAGGACTGTTTAGAGAACTCTTCTTAACCAAGTTGCCACAGTCTGTACAGACCGTACTTGTGACACTTCAGGGTACTGTAATAGAGGACTTAGCTATTACTGCAGATAGGATTCTAGAAATAACTAAACGGTCAGTTCCCGAAATATGCTCGATGACTAAGCAGACTTCGAGTAAGGATCCTGCAATGATAGAGTTATGCAACTCCATCCAGCAGATGTTTAGGTCAAACATGCCTTCTAACTCCTCCGACCGTCGTCCTAAATCTCCTCAACGCAGGAACTCACGTGGTCGATCTAAGTCCAAACCACGTTCACTGAAAAACCCTGACTGGTGCTGGTACCACAACACCTATGGCCAAGAAGCGAAGTGTTGCCGTAAGCCTTGTAACTTCGGAAATGTCTCAAAGTCTGTGGGAAACTATCCCGCCGGCACGCGTTAGCGGCAACCGTCGCCGGTGGCACTAGCCGCCTACTTTACATCCATGATGTGATAAGCCAGACTCGATACTTAGTCGACACAGGCGCCGAAGTCAGCGTCCTTCCTGCTACAGCAGCAGATCGACAGAAGGAACCTACCTTCAACTTACAGGCTGCAAATGGAAAACCAATCGCAACCTTTGGTAGGAAATACGTCTATCTGAACGTAGGTTTACGCAAACCTATTCGATGGATTTTCCTTCTCGCTGACGTTACAATGCCCATCATTGGCACGGACCTACTTAATCATCATGATTTACTCGTAGACGTCCGCCGAAAACGACTGATTGACAATACTACTAGTCTGTCTATCAAAGGCATCAGCTACATAGGCCCTAGTTTGTCACCCGTTAAGATAAAGGCAATTCTTGATCCAACTTTTCAACCTATCGTTGACAAGTATCCGGAACTTAACTGCCCGTCGAACGACCTACCGTGCATAACCAGCAATGTTATGCACCACATCATTACCACAGGACAACCTGTGACATCTAAAGCACGACGATTAGCTCCTGACAAACTGAGAATCGCCAGGAATGAATTTGACCATATGCTTAGCCTTGGCATCATTCGACCTTCGAATAGCCCATGGGCATCCCCACTTCATATGGTTCCGAAAAAGGATAGCAATGATTGGCGACCCACCGGTGATTACCGGAGAGTGAATGCCAAAACAACCCCTGATTGCTACCCGTTGCCTCATATACACGACTTGACGGCAACCTTATCCGGCGCGACTATATTCTCCAAAATCGACTTGGTTAAAGCGTATAACCAAATCCCGATGGCAACAGAAGATATCCCGAAAACGGCTATCATTACGCCTTTCGGACTTTTTGAATTTCTACGTATGCCATTCGGTCTTCGGAATGCAGCCCAAACATTCCAACGCTTCATTGACGAAGTATTTCGCGGTCTCGACTTTGTATACGCATACTTAGACGACTGCCTCATTGCCAGTCCAGACAAGGAAACTCACCTTAGGCACTTGGACTTGGCATTTGACAGGTTACGCCAACATGGTGTTACCATTAATATTCAAAATTGTCAAATCGGTGTTGACTCACTCGACTTCCTGGGTCACACTATTGACTGCAAGGGCATTCGCCCACCGGCTACTAAGGTTGAGCCTCCTAAGAAAAACCGTTCTGGACGCACCGTAAGGTTCCCAGAATATCTGCACACTTATTTGACTTAACGAAGTCGTGTGACTCACGCAACTCATTCGTTTGTGGTACTGACTATTTTTTTGAGACGTATCAATTTTTTTTACTTCCGGCTGGTTCTGTCTTAGGGTCCTCACGACCCCACTAGAGGGGGAGTGAGCTGTAGCGGTAAATAATTCCCCAAAATTATTGACCACAGCAATCACTCATTGGATGCTGACCACCACTGTTTAAGTCGACTTGTTTAGCTGAGGGCTTCCGGTCAAGCATCCCCGCCATTTGGTACCCCGTCGTGTCACGTGCACGATCACTAGCTAGTTAAGCGTTCGTCTGACGGCTCGTTTTGTTCACGGAATTTATTAGGAATTTTGGACGATGAATTATTTTCGTTTTCTTTGTCTTTTGTTCACGAGAAGATTTTAATTTTAAGTTGCTGAACGAGATATTCCTCAACCTTTATAAAGTTAAATTACTATTTAGCGCTAGGTTTGGCACCACTGCACTCTCAAATTTCGGCCTACCAACATGCCCTTAGTCGACTAGTGTGGTGGAAATAACAAGTTTTTAAGTGGAGCGGAATGATTTCAGGCTGGCCTGATTCCACGATGCTTAACAGGTCAGGTTTTAACATTCACATAAAAGATGGCTTACCTTAGATTATTCTGCCGATTTTGTGGAATTTTGAATCCCAACTCCAACCGCAAATATTCTGATTTATTTCATTCTAATAACTGTTGATTTAATATTCTCTCTTGTGCGGAAACTAATTGTGGCCTAGGGCTACTCTTGACTGGAAAACCAAGCATAAACACTCACCATGAAGAGCGATTAGCCTAATGTTCAGGTGGCTAGGCATACGTACACACATAGGACTTTCTTCCACTTTTACAGAACATATTTCAGAAATCCATTACGCTGCCATACCAAGACTCAAAAGTATGGGTTTGTGCGCAAGGACATGGGAAGCAGACCGATTCTTGATATCTGTACATCCTAAATATTTCTGTGTACTTCATGATGTTACTCTGATTTACTTTTTGATTCTATTGCTACTGATAGCAATATTTTTGTTTCTTTCTGCTGTGCATGTGTTGTCTCTCTTCTTACCTGTTTAACACCCATTGTTCTCTCTCTAATTACTATTTGCTTTGTCTACTTATTCCCTCGACACCTCCTTCAATTACTAAGGACTGGATTCTCAACCCTGACGCTAAAATGAAATTTGATATTCAAAACAGGGTCATTATTCTGGCATAAACCGTATATACCCTCAGAAATAATCTAATGTAGTCACCTCTTCGTTGCGATCAGTTAAACTACGATAAGCAGTGGGATAGTTCACCTTGGAATATCTACAGCTATTAGCAGACAACAAGAGTTGTGTTCGAAAAAATCAAAGGGCTTATATAAGGTGATCCCAAAGATATTGGACTCAGACAATCTCAATTCAGTGGTGATTCATGTGCGGAAAAACTGAAAAATCGTCTACCTCGTTCACTTAAGAAAATCCTCTTCGCGGCAGAACTACGATTAAACTTCTCCACGAAGTCTATGATTCATATGAACGTGAAGGATAGGCTACCTGTTGTCCTCATCAATATTTACCTATCACTTCGCCTGCTCGTATATCGGCCGTACCCAGCTTTCGCTTTCCAGACGTATCAACAAATACTAACCAGTCAGGTTTAGAAAAATATAAAATCGATGCCCCCGAAGCTCCATCTTAGAAAATCTGATAGATTCCTGACGTCAAGCTACACCCCTAACAAACTTCGAAATCGTCTACAGAATACGAAGCAGTCTTCCCAAAAGTGTGCGACTTAGACTTCTTCAAACTGCAGAAGCAATAGCAGTTCACTTGCTAAGTCCTGAACTCCGCACACAGAAGAAGTTCTTTCAATCACTACAATTGCAATGGACGTAATCTATCTGAATACCCAACAGGTAAATTCTATTTCTCTCTGTCTCTTCGTTAGTATTATTTTATCTTTCCAATTGTAATATTTTACATTTTCAACTCTGCTGTTCTCTACCCTGACCAGACTTAATTTCTACACCTCATTACCACTGTTACTGACTTGAAAAACGCTCGATTTCGGGTCATGTATGTTACAAAATCCAATTCATTCGCTCAATTTTAGTCCTAATTTAAATGGCATTATTTTCTACCCTACCCCTACTTAGTGTCTACCTGCAATTACCTCTGTTGCTATCACAACCTAAGTTGAAATATTTTAATGAATTATATTACATCGTCTAACTCATTCTTACTTTAGCTGCTGCCTAATTAACCTTGGTTATATAATAGATCATTCTTGTATTACGTAATTAATTGTTTAAACTTGACAAGTCTCATGTACACACAGATAATTACATATAAAAGAGATTGTACAGTCATGTGAATGAATTCGCCGAAAAGAGTATCTTCGCTGAAAGTCTGCTCTTTTTCAAATGTAAGTTAAGCGCTCGAAACAATTTAATCGTTACAAAGATTCTTAGTGGCGGTGCGTTTGTTGAGTAGAACCGAATGTTAGAGTTAGAGTGAGTCTGCCTGAATTCTCCGCAAAGTTAAAGCATAGCATTCACTACTAAAATATGTCGGGAGTTTAGTGGGTGGGAATGGTTTTTGGCCGTAACTGCCCTCCGTTAATAATGTATAACGTTATACATTACATATACATTACATATACACAAGTTTTTAAAACGTACGTTTTAAAAACTTGTGCAGGATAATGAGGGAACGACATGATCTACTTAGTTGTGAATTTATGAAAGAGTTTTCATATCAAATGCTGTAGCATTTTCACTGTCATTTCGGATGAGTTTGAGATTCTTGTGCATATGAACCTCTGTAATACCATGGTATTGCAAATATGATTGTTATACAATTTGGGAATCATAAAAGAGCTGGATTTTTAGAAGAAAGAAATCCCTGCAGATAAAAAATAAAAAGGGATGCCGTCTGGTAGCCATATGAAATACATTTTGTGACGAACAGAATCATGAGTAGTAATTAGATTCCAAATTTTTTGATTGAAGATAGAAGACTTAACTCAGTGTTAATCCTTTTCTAATGGGTTCCGGTGTTTCTCTGGTCTCTTCTTGAATGAGTTGATTATGGGCGCTGGCACCTGTGAGTCCGTCCCAAGAGTTTACAACTCGGAGGGAGAATCAGTACTGCACAGTGATATAGGTCCTTCTTGGATTTTGAATTCTCCTGCTATGCACTTTGAGGTGTACCGACCTAGTGGGAAGGAAAAGAATAGGTAGATTATATCCGTAGTTACTGTTTTAAATGTCTGCCCACGGTGTGACAAGGAGAAGAGATTCAGACTAGTCTTTGATCATATGGTAGGACGGTCATCCCGAAAATTTTGCGTGTTAGCTTCCTTCTGGACCCCTACTCGAATGTAGGAGTCACTCTGAAGACAATGATGGAGTTTTTCAGCCTTTCCCTTACTAGAGATGTACATGATGAAATGAACATATCTCTGGGGTCTCTAGTAAACGTTTTGCGTACTGCCTGTAATCTAAAAATTCGAACTACCACCTCACGATAGTGATCGGCAGCTTTTTAGGTCATGACTTACGAAGACACCTAAATCCATATGAATTTGAGCTTATGGGAGTGGTATTCCCTGACGCTTGCGTGTCTACTTTACTTAATTAGACAATGGTTGGGAGCATCCATTGTTTGAACCAATCTGACAGTATATTGAAATCTACTTGCGACTCGAGCATATCTTTATCTCCCTTAAGCTATTTCGAGATTTCTAGGTCTTCGTCGAAAATCATAGGAGACTCGGTGAACCGTGGTAATTCGTTGATATATAGGATGGATAAGAAGGGACCCAGTACGTTGTCTTGTGGCACCCCACTACGTACGTTGTTTAGGAAGAGAGTTTTGAGTTTATTCTCGCTGTCTCCTACATTTTAGGAATTCCTTTATCCAGTTTAGCAAGCCACCCTTAAAACCAAGATTTCCCAACTTCACGAGGGATCGTTTTGTGAGGTACTTCATCGAAATGTTTTCTGAAACTTATGAAGACATCAATAGGTTTCTTGTCATCCCTTAACTTGATCTAGCTTTCCCTTGCTGTGAGAAGCCTTGTCAAGACCGTCAATGTTGTAATAAGAAAAATGGTGGTGGCGTTGCAACTTTTATTCACTCCAAATGGTCTGTCTCAAATAACGTCTGCTTCACCTTCTCAAATGACTTCATTGACTGTATTACTGTCAAATGTCGCCCCAAACATCTCCCCAAATATAAACAATTCTATATTACAAACATGTACATTTCTCCTAGTTGCTCTCCATCTGATCTATCTAATTTTGCTGATGAATTCACCATGTTTGCTGCTGCCAACTTCGACAACTCTCTATCCGTTATTACTGGAGACTTCAACACATCAGATTGCTCCTTTCTTGAAGCTCTTGGTCACACAAACATAGTCAAATTTCCCACTCGACTTGACAAAACACTCGACTCGTTTTTACTAATGACGAAGGAGTATATGAAACACGTAGACGTTCACCGATACATAACTCCGATCACTGCATTGTCCGCGTTTTGCCAAAAATATACAGCAAAACACATATTAAAATCTTCTCACACCTGTCTACGAAGCACAAGAAAGATGCTACACATCTGACAACTTACTCAATCTAAGATGCATGTTAAAAGATACCAACTGGGATCTATTCTATGAAAGTACATTAGATGACTCAATCACCAATATAATGGATTATCTTAAGTTCTGCCTCGACATATGCTGTCCCAAACAAACACTGTTCAAACGCCTCGACCGCTTCTCGTCTCCCCGTCTCAAACAACTTCGCAGGCAAAAAGAAATGTTATATAAATGCAAAGACAAGTTAGGACTTAAAAAGATTAATGCTCAAATCAAATCTGAAATCAAAAATCTTAATGCTATCTATAACCAAACACTTTTATCATGCAAATCTCCTAACAGCATGTGGAAACTTTTCAATGAAATTACTGGCAAAGTAAGCGATGTAATGTTTTTCCCTCTTGTGATGTTAATGCTCTTAATCTGTCTTTTTTACGCTCTCCTTCTACTATAACCACTTCTAACGTTACCAATCTTGTAGCTGATAACTTCCAGGACTTCAATACTCTCGATGTTTTGAAATGTCTTAAAACTCTTAAGCCCTCACATAGTCTTGGCCCTGATAGCATACCTGCATATGTTCTAAAACAATGTGCAGATGCTTTATGTTCTCCTCTAACTAATATCCTAAATGCTTCTTTCTCCGAAAACGTTGTACCTGTTCCATGGAAAGACATTAAAATAGTCCCTGTCCCTAAACCTGGAAATAGCAAGAACGTAAAGTTCAGACCCATCGCCATCACTTCCCCGTTTCTAAAGCTCATGGAAAAACTAGTACTTCTTAAACTCGAACCCTCCCTTAAAAGCTTCGAAGACCCCAAACAATTTGCCTACAGACAGGGTAGGAGTACTTTAGACGCTGCAGCCGTCTTACACAACAGTATTGTCTCATCATTAGACAAAGGTGCCAAATATGTCCGCTGCACGTTTCTTGACTTTACTTCTGCTTTCGACTCTGTACCTAGAAGTCTCTTGCTAAATAAGCTCTCCATGACACAAACCGAGTCCTGGGTCACTAACTGGTTGCATTCCTACTTTTCAAACAGAATGCAGTACACCGTATACAAAGGCCAATCCTCCTCTGCTGTGCTCACAGAAGCTGGTGTCCCCCAAGGTGCTGTACTCTCCCCACTTCTCTTTTCTTTCTTCCTACATGACCTACCGTCTTCAAATGACATTAACTTTGTCAAATATGCTGATGACCTAACTGTATCTTTACCTGTCAAATGTCAAAGTGACTGCTCTAAACTAAATGGCTTCTTATCGGAAATTAGCCAATGGTCCAAGGAAAACGGTCTAACCTTAAACCCCTCCAAATGCCAAACAGTTAATTTCACCTTAGGCATAAATCTGACCTAAACAAACTGGTTAGCACTCACGAGGTGTGCAACATAGATGGCAGTGAAATAGAAACCAAGTCGGAAATTAAATACCTAGGCGTCACTCTATCTTCTGATCTTTCCTGGTCGTCTCATATCTTGACGATTTCCAAGAAAATATACCGTCTTACCTTCTACATCAAGAAGTTAAGACATTCTGGTGTAACCCAACCCTTACTCCTACAATTTGTTAACTCCCGTATTCTGCCTATTATTCTCTATTGCTCCCCCTTAGTCTTTCCTGGGCTATTGAAGAAAGACTATACCTTATTACGTAGGATGTTAAAGGTTGTCAGCAGGGTAAGCAGTTTGCCACTTAGCCAGCTTGTTAATATTCTGGTGGACAGGCATATGGACTCATGTGAAAAATGGGCGAAATCCATTTTATCTGACTCACAACACCCTCTACATTCACAACTCTCCCCATGTATCTCTTCAGGGAAAACAAGAAGCCTATATAGGAAACTATATGCCCGCACTAGTAAGTACAAAAACTCATCCATACCCTACCTAGCCGTGTTCTGTGCGATAAAGAATGCATCAGGCATGAAACCTTTAACTTATTAAATAGTCAGTAGAACCAATGGATCTCGTCTTTCCAACTCACATCATTTATAGGTACAACGTTTTCTCGCTCTTCATTCTGTATTTATTTTTGTTATGTGCTGTTTTGTTTCTCTCTTCCTTGCAAACTCTACTTAAAACATTCTTGTTCGTTCTTTCACACTCTGTATATCTCGACCATTTTGCTATCGCTTACGCCAGTAAATATGCTAGTAGTATCTACTTTTCTAACACCTTCAAACACTTTAATTTTGGCTTTGCTACCGACATACTAATATGTTGTTGAGATAACTTTAATCTATGTAGAACTTTATTTATTGTTAATGTAAAAAACTGGATGCAATATTGTAGTAAAATGCTGAGAATTCCATTCTGTATCACAAGTACTGATTTGGAATAAAGCTTATGTTATGTTATGTTATGTTATGTTAAATGTTTTCCCAGAAGATGTACTGTGCTGCTGACAAGTAGCCCAAGGGTATGACCGTTTATCTATGGGGGGTGTGGCGTTTTCGACCCCCAGAGACAGACTGTGGCGTGAACAGTTGGGCTACTCGAGCGTAAAGTTGCTTGAATTGCTAAATGTAGTTTCTGTGTGAGACTCCGGGTTTATGTCTCAGCCTTGTGAGGAGGCCGCAGGAACGAAGACGTTTATGTCAGCTTTCCAAACGTTTGGTTGGGCCAAGGTTTTGGCTAAGCAGACTACAGCAGCTGTAAACTATAAAAGTGAACACAATGTGATCACTTCATCATAGGAGTGGAAGAAGTATGGGGTTCACGTCCTTACCATCCCAGAAAATCAGCTCCAGGAGTGCTGAGGGTCATTAATTAACAGTTACCTGAAAGAATAACTACCTCTTTGTATCAACATATCTCTCTGGCCCTTTTAAAAATTGTCTGTAGGAAAAAGATGAGTTAATTTCCTGGAAATAGTTGCTGTATGATTTGTAACAAAGAAATTGCTTAGTGGGTGTAACGAAGTTTTCAAACATGAGATTATCAAAGCATACTGGATAATTGAAAAGTTATTAAGTTTTTGCTTTACAGCTGCTGAACAATTGCATTTCCATGCGATTGGTAATGAGCCACATGCACTGTGTTAGGCCTAATGGGACTTCCTGGCTGTCTGAATCGTGATAGGTGGTCCGGGTTTCAAATCCGTGACCCAGCGGTTATAAATGAATCACTCAAAACAGTGAGCCATAACTCCACACTTCATAATGACACAAAACGGTAATTTAGTAGAACCTTTCACTAGGCTCTGTGCTCTCTCACTGTTGCACCTGTTATTGCATGAGATGTGTATTCAATTATTCCATTCATTATCACTGTATTGTTATTATTATTTCTGTTCTTTTATAAAAACTGTCGTGTTTTATTTTCTATCATGACATTTGTTACGTTTTTGCAAACTGGTCGTATTGTTTGGAGACTTGGTATATGTTTGTTGTCCTCATGCCCTAAGTAGTTGCATTCAGAAAGCTCACCTCCAATGCTATATCTGATAGGGCTATTCTGGTACTGTTACATTTTAGCTTGCAACTGACAACATTCTTACATTGATGTGAGCTGGGTAAGAGGTAGGCTTGACCAGATCCCTGGAAACTTGCGCTATTAATGCGTTGAGGTAATTAGTTCTCCAAAATTAATAGCCTAAATCATTCTTCACACAACACTGGATGCTGGATTTCACTGTTTATGTCGACTCGTTCAGCTGAAGGTTGACGGCCAAGCACCCACGTCATTTGGCACGCTGTCGTGTTACGTTCAGTTATTCATGCACGATCCCTAGCTAGCTAAGCAGTCATCATCGCTTACAATTCTGATCCCGAAACATATCTCGTATTTTGCATGATTGATTTGGTATTTTGATTTGTCTTCGGTCTAAGCAAAACAAATACTGTAAGAGCTGAGGAGATAAGAATTTGAGTTTGTATACATCATACTTTTTGTAAACGTCAACATCCCTTTTATTTTAAGATTGCGTCCCACATTTCAGAAACCCGCACACCTAGAAGCTGGACATCTATTTAGACCGCTACGGTTTTCTTCTGGGAACATTTAAGGCTTTCTCCTCGAAATGTTGCCCGCAAATGAAAAATTTAACTCTGTATTGCCAGCTCGCCAAGGTAGCCAGGTAGATTTCTAGCCGTTCGAAGTGACTTAACTCTCTAAGTTGAGTTTAACCTGTTACAACTCTGATGAGTTAAGCCTCAGACGAGTGGAAGTGCAGTACTAATATCATTTCCGTCTGAGTGGCAAGCATTACTAGTGACTGCTATATGGGAAGTAAGTCACTTGTAGATAGAAAAAGGACGTAGAATTTAGATAGCATATATGTATATATATAAAAAGATATGTGAGATGTAAAACGATTAGCCGAATCTAAGTATTTTATCAGAAGGTTTTGTTTTAGCTATGAGAATGTGAACTGTGAACACTTGGATTGTATACAATTACATCTAATATGAAGGTATGCTAATGGTATATCAATACAACAACAGATTTCTCTTTTAACGTCACTGCATTTAGGTCTCTACTATGTTTTTGTTGCGTAAATAAAAATCGACATTCTTCTACAAATCTTGAAAGCTTACTAGCTAGATTAGAGTTAGCAGAACAAACAATTATTCGAATATTTCTATTAGTCGCATTGAGTACTCCAGCAATGAATTTCAGCTTTTCGTAGATACTAATTGAATATTTTTATGTTCCCAAAACCAATCGTCATTACCGTTTAACCCTTGGAATTTGATTCGGCTTTTCTCAAAATAAAATTCAGTTCCAGTATGATTTTGATGTACAATTGATGTAGTCCTCCCCAATGTTTACACTTACCAGTATTTTTAGTTTGATTAACAATATAATTTAACCTACCTATAGGCTTGTCCTTTTTTTTCTTTTGTCAACACGGATACTTGAAGTAGGTGTTGAATATAGCAGAGAGTTCAAAATAAACTGATTTGTGTTTTATAATTATTTTTCAGATAATATCACAAAATGTTTATGACAGATACCATCTGACCGCCAACTTTAGTCGTCAATGACACTTATGATGCATAATTCCGTTAGAATTATACAAAACTTTTGTAGTTTCACTTCAGTGTTTTTGAGACGAAATTCAAATGCAGCCCTTGTTACAGTTCGACCTCAGTTATCAGATAAGCAGCGTAGAGTTAGTTACATAATATAAAGTTTGTTTAAACAACTGTTTCTTTTTGTAGACAATCGATTCATGTTGCACTGTTGAAGTCACAGCTGATCGGCTAAGTTATGCATTTCTACGCCTGGATCTTGAAGATAGAAATTCAGTCATACTTTCCAGTTGGAATAGCTTACCGCTAAACTTACCATCCGGAAAAGAATTCCGACCATCTGTTTGTTCTTCCACGGTAGAGTTTACATTTTTTAAAATAACTGTTTTCTAGCTCTTTTCAAGTTTAGATTTTGTATTTTCAAAGAATTATAAGTAGGAGCTAACATCTGCTTTTATATGAGCAAATTAGCCGGTACTGACTTTGGTTAGTTAACCAGGTTTCACTTTTTGTGGTTATTGTATAGTTAGTGATACGAATACAGTAAGTAAAGTTACAGTTATCGTATTCATGAACGTAAGGCGGAAGTGTAAAGTATGTTTACGATTATAAAGCCTGTGAAAACTTGTTATCCGTGTATTACATTAGCTCCGATACTTGTATTATCAACTTGTACCAGCTTAAACAAATTCTGAGCTGGATACCCCTTTTGTTTAAAGATATAACACAGTAATTAGAATTAAGAAAGCTTTATATATATATATAATGTGTTATGTCTTAACACTAACATCAATCAACGACTGAATTAAGATGTTTGTCACTGTAGGCTGATGCCATATAAAGACCATTATGCTAATCATTAGAGTAGATTGACATCAATAATACTTTTGTCTCAGTCTTTGTGTACAGCTGATTCGTTGAATTACTTGTGCGTTATTAGCGTGTTTTGAAGTGCTTAATTAAGTGGTTAGTATGCTTAGTTTCTGTTTTATGCCTATAATGCAGTGACTGTGAAAGAGTTTCGGTCTCACTAAACTTGATTATAGAACTACAATGACCAGCCATCATTTGTTTAAAACAATTTTGACTACAAATTGACTTCAATTAGACAACCACTGTACATCATAGAGTACTGAACAGTTGTTTCATCCTTGTTTGGAACCCTTCAATAGTACCTTCAGGTCAGAGACTGACCTCTTTGGCCATTCAGGCACTGGGAAGAAACTGAATGACCCATCAATTCTAACTTCTGCTAATTCGCTTTATAGCGCGGTCGCCAGTCAGTGTATCGGTGATTAATCTGCCTTCACATCCGGTTTGGTGGACTCCTTTGACCACGACTTTCCATTAGAGATGATATTGGTTGACAGTCGCGCTATGTCATGAATTGGCAGAGGTTAAAATTGACGGTTCATTGGATCGGGTCCCAGTGACTGAATGGTGTACCAGTTCTTCTTGTTATCTAAATATCCTGAGTTCAGTTCTTGGTGTTGGATCATGGAAGTGCATTACGGAGGAGTTCGAGACAAGCACTAAGTAACTGTTTACTTGTCCACTAACTGAAGTCAATTCGTCCTCAGAATTAAAATCAATCAAATCTCTACAAACCAACACTTGAGAAACAGAAATAGTTAGGAATTTTTGTGTCTTCGGTTCTATACATTCATGTATTCCGAATTGAATAGTGTGAAGTTGATGGGCTTCAAATCTAACTAAGCATAACTGGTAATCAACAATGTACAAGCAATGGCCAAGTTGAATTAATACCGCTAATTACTTCATATTGTGAAAGTAAAGTGACTTATACTAATTGTTGATTATTTATCGTAGAATGTAGCTAGGTGTAGATAGGTACAATGTGACACATCACAAGACATCTGGGTGAGAATAAGTCTTTAAAACTGTGATTTGTAATTTAAAATATACTGCTATTGTAAGCTATCTACCAGTATATATATCAAAATTATGTGTTGTTTTAACTTTTCTGTAATATAGTTTAAATCTGTTGCTCAACTATTATTGAATGATATTTGCTCACCTGAGAACTTAACCAGTAGTCAAAGTGCTCTAGTGTATGTCTCCTCCAAATTGTCGTCTTCTTCATTGATACGTGCTGGCTTTATGGGATACCTTATTGGATGTTTATGTACAGAAGCTTCATCTTTATCTTATTTTCCTGTTTTTACTATGAATTACTGCTATCGGAAAAGTATTCTTTCATTATGGAAATCTAATTTTCTGAAGAAGCATAGCTCAGAAAGCATAACTAACGGTACTATTGAAGATATATTCATGTTATTGCCAAAACTATCAACAAGGCATAATAATAATTCTAAGTTGGATTATTGCCGTATATTCAATGTAGATGACAATACAATGAATTCGAATGCACATGTACTCTATGATAATGATGAAGGAATTAGTTACAATCAACTTAGTCTGGTTAATGTTCTCGTAGATGGATATGCTTTTTTGGTTCATGGAGTAATGAGTGATGACAGTGTCACACACGATGTAACACTGGCTCAGTCTGCTCAATTTGTTTCTTAAAGAAAAAGGTAAATACTCAGTATCCATTATAAAAAACCCAACATTTTGACATTAGAACATAACATTAATCTCTGACTGAATGATGTGTACGTATATATATATATATATATATATATATATATATATATATATATATATATATATATATATATATATATATATATATATATATATATATATATATATATACATCTGCCTTTGTCTTATTTTCCAATAAGTCTAATGTTTACTGTGATGTTGTTCCTCATTATGGATACTTACTTACCTCTGATACAAACCAAGAGAAGATTAGTGCATAACAAATTTCAAGTGAAAGGGTTATATGTATATGTCCGAAAAATCACTTAAATTCATCTGTTGGGGTTTTTGTTGGAACATGGCATTTATTTGTCAGTTGGATGAAATTAAGCGTTCACAATCTATCTATATACGTATATCATGCTTTCTCGGCTGTGAATTACATTCATATTACAACATACCAGCTGATAGCAATAACCAATCCCTGAAGCGTAACCGGATGAAGTAATAATCTAAGTAAGTGGTTTCGGAGTTGGTATTCACTGTAGTAACTGTTAGTTGTTGAACAGCCCTCGCATTTATAAATAATACCTGTTCAGTGCTCCCTTCTTTTCAGTCGTTTCTCCAGCTGATGCTAGTTCGTGACAAAATCTACACCGGAATTATTTTCACAGAGTAATGTTATTACATAACAATATTCAAGAGCTGATTTTTAAGGATTTGATTTGTTTTTCCAGTTGAACTACGGATTGATATCAGTTAGAGAAGCATTGAAAACCAGGGAGTACTGGACAGCTGTTTCATCCTAGTTCGGGACTCATCGTCAGTGCTCACCCACTAGGTGTCAAAGCCAGGACGTCCAGGTTACAAGGCAAGCTCGTATACCATTTAGCCACTGGGACTCGATTCAATGGTCCACGAATTCTAACTTCTACCAGTTCGTAATAATTAGCGCGACCACCAACCAATGTCGTACGCGAGTAACCGAAATCAGCTTGTGATCAAACCTGTAGTTTCTCTCCCCTGCGTCTATTCAAGTCCCCGACAAATATATCTGTTGAGTCCACTTGGTCAAAAGATTTATTGGTGCTGATTTAGTGTAAATTTGGTTGATAATATGACACTAAGAACCTATCGATTTATATTTTATTACTTATCATTGGCTCAATGTAGAAATCTAACAGCCATTAAAATGATCAGCCCTTAGTTGATAATGGAGAAACTAGACAATCAAACTTACTGCTCTTCTTCGTGGAACCTTTTGAATCTTTGCTGGTGTAACATCTTATGTATATTTTTCTTGAAATCATATTTCGTTTAGTGTGTAAATAGTTTCTTCTTTATGCAGAACAGAATCTAAAGGAGTTACTGTAAGATTAGTGATAATATAAGTATATGCACACCAGGCAACTCTTTGGACTCTTCAGGGAAACGGGTGGGAGAAGACAAATCATCAGTCAGACAATCTCGGAAAAAAATGGCACTATAATTAGCTCACAGGATAGACGACTGGATCGTTGGAAAGAGCATTATGAGGAGCAGTTTAATTTGCCCACAGCCACGCTCAACCTTCCGAGCACCCGACCGAAAGCTGCTACCTTGACGTGGTGGTCGGGCTTGAACACCGCAATGACCTAATCAAGCTATACTGGCTGAGACTTATGTCTCTTGAGGTTCTACCATGCCAGGCAGGTTGTTTGGATAGCGGTTAAACAAAAAGCAGCTACCTCATCCAATACCATGATCCAAACAAATTCACAAAATTTCATGCCGGATCGGCCGTGGCCCGGATTAACAACGACCGCGCTTCCTGCTGCCGTGTCACAGGGCGGGAGTGATAAGTATGCTACTGAGGCACACAAAACAACGAAGAACGAACAAAAACAGGCCGCGTGTGACCGGCCACAAGCAGTTGTCCCCTGGGCTCTGCGGTCACGCAACCAACTTCCACGGTGTGGGCAGCCGGGAAGTAACAATCGCCCTCACAATCCAAACGCATCCAACACCTCCCTGAATGGGATATAAACACAGGTCCTCCGTCACTAACTGAGGTTACTAAAGCTGTCACCAATCTGAAACTAGGCAAAGCAGCGGGACCTGATGGAATGACTCCAGAGGTATTTAAGTACGGTGGAGACAGCTTACTGTCCGGATTAACTGAGGTACTAGACAGCGTCTGGGAATCAGAAGAAGTCCCATCGGGTTGGTGTAAGTCACTGATTATCCCCATATACAAGAAGGGAGACAAGTCTTCCTGTGATAATCACAGAGGGATTAGCTTGACTAATATAGTATCTAAAGTCTTAGGCTCAATAATCATGCGTAGACTAAGTGGTGCTCGGGAGGCACAAACACGAGAGAGCCAGGCAGGCTTTAGACCAGGAAGAGGGTGTATTGATCATATCTTCACCCTCCGACAGATTCTAGTACATAGGAATTCCTACCGGCGTCCAACAGTCATTATATTTCTTGACCTAAAGGCAGCATTCGACTCTGTCGATCGGGAAGTTCTCTGGAGATGCTTGGCTGTAAAGGGAATTCCAAGAAAATATATTGCACTGATTAAGGCACTCTACTCGTACTCATACAGCCAGGTGAGGGCTTACGGCGAGCTGTCATCTGAACTGATGACGACCAGTGGTGTCCGTCAAGGATGCCCATTATCTCCTTTTCTATTCAACTTCATCATAGATGTGTTAATGGACTTAACCCTAGGTGACTTCAGTGACTCAGGAATTGACTTGCTACCGGGGAATAATCTCGTTGACTTGGAATATGCAGACGATATAGTCCTTCTAGGCGAAGACGCTGACGAAATGCAGAGTCTTCTAAACACCTTGAGCCGCAATCTACGAATGTTTGGCATGCGATTCGCTCCCGCCAAATGCAAGATGATGTTACAGGACTGGACTACATCGACGCCTAGTTTAAAAATAGGAAGTGAAGTGGTAGAGCACGTTGACCGCTTCACTTATTTGGGAAGTACCATCAGCCCCAACGGGCTGATCTCTGACGAAATCTCAGCACGAATACAAGGGGCTCGTTTCGCATTTGTTAGTTTACGCCGACTCTGGCGTAGACGAGATGTTCGACTATCGACCAAAGGGCGGGTGTACTGCTCATCAGTCCGCTCCGTCCTCCTTTATGGCTGTGAGACCTGGCCACTCAGAGTGGAAGACATGAAAAGGCTAGCTGTGTTTGATCATAGGTGCCTGCGTTCTATTTCCCGTGTAAAGTGGCATAATAAGGTGAGCAACATGGAGGTTAGGCGTAGAGTTCTAGGTAAACAGGGGAAATCAATCGACGAAGTCGTGAAGCTACAAAGACTGAGATGGTTAGGACATGTGTTACGTATGCCAAGCCATCGCCTCCCTCGACGATCAATGTTAGCGGATATAGGGTCAGGCTGGAAAAAAGCTAGCGGCGGTCAAACAAAAACTTGGCATCAGTCAATGAAATCCACAACAGTTGGTCTAAGCCAGCCACGTAGGAAGGTGTGGACTTCCTGGTTGGGGTCCTCGGGACGGTAAAAATCTATGGTTGGAAACAATTGGTGGCATGGCTCAAAATCGTTCTCAGTGGCGCAGATGCATCCACTCCCTGTGACTTATGATCTCCAATGAAACTGTTTTGTTCTTCGTTATTACTCCTTTGTCTCACACCTCTGCTCACTGTCTCTATTATGCTTTTCTTGTACTTTCTTCTCTTGCTTCGCGTGCTACACGGAATGTGGCGACTTGAACTTCCGCACATTTGTGCAAAGTTCTATGTCGAAAACAGACAGACAGACAGAATATATATTGCAGTAGTTCATGACACTTTTTCGACGAACTTTCATTCTTCGACTTCATTCCAGAAAGATTTGATGCATGTTAATTATTGGTTAGAGATATGCTGAAGTCGTCAACTGTGTAGTTTATGAAAAAGTTGCAAATATATCGCATTTATCGCATATATACATATATCCTTTTCAACCTGATACTCTGTCGAGCAATGTTAGTTTACATAGGATTGAGTTGGAAAAACGTTAGGATTTTTCAAATGAAGACTTGGTGTCAGCCTATGAAGTCCTTTCCATATTGGTTTGAGCCAATGTGGGGAGGTCTAGACTGCCTGGTGAGAGAGTCATCCAGACTCTGAAGATAAATGACTTAAGACTGTTTGACTCAAAATTGTTTTCAGTAGTGCAGATACATTCACTCTTTGTAATCTCTTAAATACATTAAATCCTCATGTTTCTCCATGTAATCATTCTTTCTCCTGTCTATTTCTGCCCATCAATTTTTATGAATATTTTTCTGTCTGCATTTTTAAACTCCTATACTTCTGTGCAAAGTTCTACATTGAGGCTCACTCAGTCAGTATAGTTTCATCATTCACATTAAGTTTATTTAATATGGACTAATCGACTCTCCGTGAGGTGAATTTTTTTTGGAACATACTAAGTAGTCATAATAACCTTTACGCAGCACAGCTTTTAGTCATTCGTGGTGTGTTGAAACTTTCACGGATGAATTTTCTAAGTTATCTTGATGGACAAGTACGTCATTAAACTTCACAAATTACTAGTGGTAGGTCAGTAAATACCCCGAATCCAATAGTGGTTTGGTTCGCATTTCACAATGGCCTAAAGAACTTAACTGGTCGGAGCAAATGTTCCTGCAGAGCTTACCGTTCTAGAAAGGTTGCTCGGATATTTGTTACACCAAAAGTGGTTATCATTGTAGGGTGATATGCTTGCACTCCACTTTCTAATAGGCTGTATTAATAACTTAAAACACTTGTTCCTTTTTTGTCATCTTCGATTTCTTACCAAATGACTATAGTTCGGGTGGAGTAAGGGATGCGTTCCATCATAAGTTATCCGGTTTGCTGCCGGAACAAGGACGCTCAAATGCATTTACCTTGAGAGGTGACTAAAATACCAGTCCGAAAAGTATATTAGGGATGGAGTACAAACCTCACCTAGCTTACCAGCTGGTCCTATAGGCGGAAAGGGGAGAAGTTAAGGCGTGAGCCTAACAACTTGATTTCATAAAGAATAAAACCATCACCTCTGAGACCTTAAAAGACAAAAAAACATATTCTCCACTGAAATCGGGAAAATCCTTCAATCGGAGGATGGATGACGCTGGCCTGTGTAAGACTGTCAAACCAGTTGACCTATTTGTCTTCTTTCGACGAAAGCTAAAGTAGGCTTAAGAACGTAAAAATGTTGTCCGTACCATGTGCCGGGCTAGTGAGAGTGTGCAGATTGCCGAAAGTATGACAGAAATTTTAGGAATCTCTGAGGTCAGATAGAATGTAAGTGGACTCCAAATTGTTAACTGGAGAGTCAATAATCTACTCTTGTCACCTAAAAAACAACGTTGAGCGCATTGACGGTGTCACCATCATAACGTATCCAATAGCATCGAAGGATCTTATGCAAGGAGAAGCAATCTCCCCCTCCCCCCTCCACCCTCACCAAGGCTGATGGCAGCAATATTTAACCGAAAATGGACGAAGCCTACAGTTGTACAATGATGTGCGTCTACTAACACTGCGGATCCTGTAGAGAAACAGTGCATTGGCATATAACTGTAAACAGTAATGGAAAAGACCCCAGCCCAGTGGTGACATCAAGATTCTAATGGGCGATATGGAGGCCAGCCGAACTTTCAGCAGAGAACACAGGAAGAGAACTCATCATGTGTGGGTTGGTGCCCAGTGAACGGGTAAATTTCAGATTTTGGTTCATCCAATGATTTGGTAATTGGAAGCAGCGTGTAGACAGAAAAAGACGTCCTCGAGGCGAAGTATGTGGGTTTCATCAGATGGATACACTGAAAACCAGATAGACTTCATCTCAAGGAGGTGGAAATGCAGCTTACTGTATACGAGATCGAGAGGAGGATCAGATGCAAATGCAAATCGTTCCCTAGTGAAGGGAAACTTCAAGATCATATCGAAAGCCTTCAAAGAAGTTGGGGATTTACCACAATCCTGGTTTAGCACACAAACACTGAAGGATGAGCACCTTGGTTGGAATTCCAATGGAATCTCCACCTGATGTCTTTAGCAGTTAGGTAGGATAAGCTTTCTTCCCCTTTGGCTGTTGGTTATGGTATTGCACATGCCTACGCTTTCGAAAGTAAAGGATAGGTTGGAAGATAGCAAATATCGGTCAGACAAAGTTGTGGTACTAGTTAGTGAAGTTACTGACAGGATAGCATGTGCTTTATGTTTGCCGACTGGACCCAAATGGTTTGGAAATGTTAAATGTAAGGCGTGACAACTTAGTACACTGTTCACTAATGACAGATCTTAGTGATAAATAGATCATAGTGATTAAATGACTGCTGGATTTTTTCTACTAATCATAATAATAAAGTTTTAGATTTTTTAGATCAATTTGATCATATCCCTTATTTAACTTTCTTTATATATATATATATCTTTATTTACTCATTTTTTTCAGGCGTTTCATTGTTCTAATATTCTGAAGGAACAAATTCTATCCAATCACAATGTTCCACTAAATATGGATGTTATTCTACGACCTGTTGTACCATCAACTTGTTTTACAACGACAACAATAACAACAGGAAAATATCCTAAAGACAATTTAATTATGCATCAGGCTGTGGTAACAGGTTACCTGTTGGCTTTTTTATCTAATCATACAAATGATGAATTTCATCAAAACTGTCAAGCTTCCATTTCACTTAAATGTCCAACAGTAGAGACTTTAGTCAACTGGACAAATCAGTCAACTAGTCATTGGGTACAATATCTTAATCAGTTATTTTTGTTATCGTATAAAAATGATCAATTTATAACTTTTAACCTTTTGCCTAAATCATCTAAGCACTTATGTACAGTGAAGAATTCGAAAATAATGCCTGTACAGGAGGAAATCAATATGCGTTTACAGTCTGAACAGTTACTTTCTGTATTTAGGGCTTCAAATATGACAAAACGTAAAGATTCAACTACTATGCAATTTTTGTTAGCTCGATGTTTATTCACATGTATGTATCACCTATTCCATGATAATTATTCGAGGATAGTTTAAATTTGTGATTTTTTTTTATTCATTGGTTTTTGGATTTTTTTATTCCACTAAAAAGAGAGTGTCTTCTATTGATATCATTTGTTGTTTTGCCTTTGCCCTTTGTGTGAGACACAAAGAGATTGTTGTTTGCTAAGGAAGGGAGGAAAAGGGATAGATATATCAGGGTAACAGAACATAATCATATGTTAAATCAATGCCGAAAAGCAGCTTATCGTGTAGAATAATCCTACTGCATTTCGCTTACTGTTATTTTTAAATTTATTGCTTATTGTTCCCTTGGGTTCCGAGTGGAACACCTCCGTCTTCTCCTGCAGTTCTGTCTTCGTTGCCGGCTTCTTCAGCCCAGTTGGTTCGGTTTTGCCTGCAAGTCTCCGAGTTTATGTGACATTATACATGTATCATCTGCGAAATCCGGATCTTCTAGAGTCTTCTTACCGGTGGTCCATCGCATTCCTGTCTTCTCACTCCCTGTGCACAGTGTGACGCATAATCCAGTCCACCATAATCAAGAATATCATGGTTGGTGATAATAGGAAACCAGCTTGTCTTACTCCTGTAGGTACTTCGAACGCCCTCACTGAGTTTTCCGTTGTGGATCACTGACACATGGTATTGTCACACAGCCAACCAGCTGTTGAATGAGGTTGACAAAGACTTGAGGTAAGCCGTACTCTTGAAGTAGTTTCCAAATTACGTCTTAGTCAACACTGTCGAAGGCCTTTTCGAAGTCGATGAAGTTGAGGTAGGGAGAGGTTTGACTGCCATTCCATGCTTTGTTCGATGACGATGCGTAGGGTTTCAATTAGATTAGCACACGATTTGGCCTTCCTGAATCCAACTTGTCCTAATTGGCGGAGTTCTGTATCAAGCGCATCCTTTATTCTCTCTAGGATGATGTGACTTAGTATTTCGCTTTTCGTGGACAAGAGCATTATTCCACGCCAGTTCTTCCACAGGCCTAAGTCGCTCCTCTTTGTCAGTTTGACAGGGTAGCCCTTCTTCCGATTAGCAGATACCTTTCCTTCTTTCGAAACCTTTTGCAGTAATGGCGTAAGCACATTTGCCACGGTCTCTGAGTTCGTTTTCAGTGCTTCGGGGTGCACCATTCCGTCTGGCCATGCTACCTTCCTCACTGGACTTCATTAGCTTGATCGAATTCAGGATTTCTGCTTTCGCTCGAGGATTGGTGTCCACTGGTTGGCAGTTCTCTACGTGCTGTTTGAGGTGGTGTATTTCTGGGCGAGATGCAGGCGATGGTCAACTCAAGAGTCTTATGAAGCAATCAACCCACTGTCTTCTTCATTTCTCTTCCATCGTAATTAGGTTCCATTGAGCATATTTTATTGATTTCTTCATCTGTGTTGATTTCTTCCCAGATACAGACCTGGTTATCTGATATAATGTTCTGAAGTCTCTTTTATCTGTGGCCAGCCTTCCTGTTCTGCTTCAGTTGCCAGCCAGTGTGTCGTAGAATTGTCTTCCCCATCACTCTTCTTCACTTCTTCATTCAGTGAGATATCCAGCGAATTCAACTTCGTCTGTTGTGCATCTTTGCATTGAACCATTTTCTCTTTCACCATCCTCCTTTCCTCTCTTATTACCTTTTAGGTAGATGCCCACTAACAGTCGTTTTCTGTCTTGTATCTTCCTTCTTCCTAGAACAGTTGTACATGTTTCCTTAAATATTGCCTTCAGAGAGTTCGAATGTTCTTTCATGCAGGTTTCCTCGTTGATAACAATTAGCATCTCCGACTTTGCTATGATATCCGTAGTGAATGCATTCCTAGCAGTTGTGTTCTTCAGTTGCTGAATGTTGAACTTGAATCACACTGGCCTGTCTCCATTCGTTTTCAGAGATTTCAGCTTCACCTTGAAAATTCTTTGAACTAGGTGATGGTCTGATCCCACATCTGTTCCCCTTCTCGACTTTGTGTCCAGCAGGCTGGCTGCGACACCACTTCCTTAAGCAGCATTGAGATGAAATCTCTCTGGTTTGTTGTGTGTCCGTCAGGCGAAATCCATGTCGCTGGCCTTGTGTATATCCTTGTGCTTGTACTTGTTGCCTCCAATCACCAAATGACTGGAGGTGCAGAAGTCTACGAAGAGTTCTCCGTTCTTATTCATTTCGCTAGGTGAGAGCCTCTCGACCTATGATGAGCTCTCTTCATGTATTATCTGCTCCCAGTTCCAGTGACATTCACATCGCCCATGAGGATTTTGATGTCACCATTTGGGATGTTGTCCATCATCGTGTGTAGTTGGCCAAATAAATCGTCCCTCTCCTCTTCTTCTGAGTTGTTTGTAGCACTGTGCGCAGCATTGGATAATTGTTTCCTTTTGAGCTAAATCTTGCTGTGATGATCCTGCATGAGGAGTTTTGTACATTTAATATATTTTCTATGCGTTGAAGTTTCTCTAGCGGTTTGATAGGTTTAGTGGTGTAGGGTTGCTAGCCGCACACCCAACCTACCCTCTTTATCAGGGCTTGTGACCGGCTAGAAAACTAGCAAGCTAGTTAACTAAGCGAGGTTTTACAGCAAGTTAAGCGGCATAAAATGAAGTGAAAATGCTACTAATGACTACTAGCAGAATTCTTTGCAAAGTGTTGCACATGTGTGTTGATCTTTCGACTACGATTTTGGCTGTAATCTCTTCTCTCATTTCTGAATTCTCTATCTCTCTTTCTAAGAGTCAAAGTGTTATAACTGAACAGGTCAAAACACTCGTTGAAAATTAAAAAAAAAGTGATCGCTACACACCAACAGTTCAAATGTGTCGTGTAGTGCAATAAGAAAAAGTAACTAGATTACACATATTCGTCAAAACTGACTACTAGTTTTAATATTACGGTAGAGCTAGTTACATTAGATGTACAGTTAGGTATCTTCATCGTCGGATTTCTGAACATCATCCCAAGGGACAAACAAGACCCATTTCAGTTCTTGAGAGAATGTTTAGATCGGCACGAATATCCAAAGATGTACTGGAAGTCCCTCAGACGAAACCACATCCATCCGAATACCAGAACGCTCAGGCGACACACACTAAACAACATTGACTCCATCCAATCACGTATCCCTGAACTAGAACGAAATGTCGACTTACGAGCTCACGCAGTCCACGATTTAGACCAAGAACTACGCCAATCGTTCGAAGAATATGTTGAAGAAGTTGCACAGAAACAATGTGAGAATGCCAAGTCAAACCTTATTAAAAGCCTGAAGCCGACGAGCGACCCTGAACGACCATCCCCAAGCAATCCAGAAAAATACGTATTTAACCTGTCAAACATTGAGCTGTCAGAACTTCAACCAGAAGCACTGTCTAAACCAACAAAGGAAAAGAACGTGACGGAACAAACTGAACAAAAACTAACGAACCTTCTCCGAAAACTAAAGACTGAATCATTCATCGATCTCGAAACCTTCGAATCGTTGAAACCGTCGGGCTCAAATATACCCCGGCTATATGGACTACCAAAAGTGCACAAGAAAAACGTACCTCTTCGACCCATTCTCGATATGACTAATTCACCTTATCACAGTACCGCACAATGGCTAGTAAACATACTAGAACCAGTCAGAAAGCAAATCTCCCGCCACTCACTTCGAGACTCCTTCGATTTTGTCAATTCCATTGAAAACGTCAGCGTTTCCAATCAAACCATGTTCTCACTAGATGTGGTATCACTGTTTACAAACGTCCCACTAACCGAAACAATATGCTCTATATGTGAATATATTGATTCAAAGGAGATGAACATTGGTATACCCACTGACTATTTGAAGGAACTCCTATTAAGATGTACTCTAAACGTCCAATTCACTTTCAATAATGAAATATATAGACAAAAAGATGGTATAGCTATGGGCTCACCACTCGGCCCGCTGCTTGCAGATATTTTCATGTCAAAACTAGAAAATACACACCTAAAGAAGATAATAGATAACTTCGGATTCTACAAGAGATACGTGGACGATACTTTTATTATCGCCAATAATGAGGAAAATTTGGAGAACATATTGGACTTCTTCAACAGTTGCCATCCAGCAATCCAGTTCACACTAGAGAAGGAGTCCAACGCAACAATATCTTTTCTGGACGTGCAACTAGCAAGATGGGACACTCAAAAGATCCATTCACAGAAAACCGACATGGAATGGACAACTCATCAGCTTTCACAGTTGGGTGCCTATATATACAAAACGAAATCTGATCCGCTCACTGACTCACAGAATCCACAACATTTGCAGTCCGGAAACTATAGAAGAAGAGCTGAAGACCCTGAAAAGAATCCTCCTTGAAAACGGTTACCCGGAACGTTTCATCACAAAAGCTATGAAGCCCAAAACACAAAAACCATCCATGCTTACTGCTCCCAAGAAACTTCTCTATTTGAATCTACAATTCAACGGAGATTCTTCAGCAGAAATACTGAGAAACCGCCTGTGCCGTTCACTGAAGAAAACCTTCTTCGCAGCGGAACTCAGACTAACTTTCTCTACGAAACCAATGATTCGCACGAACGTGAAGGATAAGCTTCCACTGGGGGCCTCATCAATGTGCATCTACCAATTCACCTGCTCATGTGGAGCTAGGTATGTCGGCCGTACCCAGCGTTTGCTATCCAAACGAATCAGCGAACACTTACCTTCATGGTTTTATAAAGGAGAAAGAAGATCCCCCCGCCACAGCTCTATCCTAGAACACTTGATCGAATCCGGACACCAAGCAAACCCACAAAACAACTTCTCAGTTATCTACACAATACTCGGGAATCTTGCCAAAAGAGTACGAATTAAACTTCTTCAAACTGCAGAAGCAATGGCAATTCACATATTGAATCCTGAACTCTGCATACAAAAGAAGTTTGTTCAGTCACTAAATCTACAATGGTCCTGATCTATCTTAACACCAAATACGTAATTTTGTCTTACCTCTTTCTTCTTTGTTTGTCTATTTCTTAATTGCATTATTTTCTACCCCCACCCTCTATTAAATCTCTACGCTCATGACGACTGTTGCTAACTCGATTTTCGTTTATTTTTAAGTGAATTCTACTCAGCTTATTAACTTAACTCTCATTCA